AAGTTGAAAAGCGGAAGATGATAGATTTTATTAAATTAAATAATATGGTAAAAAAAACAAAGTGAAACATTCCTCAGAGATTTTGGTCCACATTGACATGACAGCGTCACACAGTTTTTCTGGATGCACATCCATGATGTGAATCTCACGTTCCACCATAAAAAATGAATGAACATGAAGTACATTTGTATGACAAATTAAAGGAAAACCCAATTTACATGTCTTTGTGAGGTGTTAAACCAGCAGTCCCCAAAAGTTTTTGTGCCACGGATCAGTTTATATTTGACAATATTTTCACAGACCGGCCTTTAAGGTGTCGCAGATAAATACAACAAAATAAACCCAGTACTGGTACCAAAAAAAAAGATTTATTCATAACACACAGTAAAAGACCCAGGGAAACAGAGTTAATGATAAAAACGCTAAAAAAAATAATGATAAAACCCTGAAAACTAAAAAATTTCACACCCAAGCCTCAACTCTCGCAGCCTGATGACTCACGGAACGGTTCCGGTCTGTGGCCCGGGGGTTGGGGACCGCTATGTTAAACCATGACATGTCACCAAAATTAGTTCAATTCTGCAAAAATCCTACAGCACATGATTCCTCTTATTTTCATACTCATCAACTGTTCAGCTGCCCCTCTGACACTATCAGCCTGGAAGAGTCCCCATGCATTAAGCAGAAATGTTTAATGACAGAATAAAGGTGATCGCTCAGATCCCACACTGTAACAGAGGCACTGGACCATATGTATTCAAGTTTTTCCTTTAATTTGTCAGCTCCTTGTATATTGTAAGGTGAACGTGATATAATTAAAACTGCAGACACACAGTTTGCTTTACACTTATAGATTACCTATTTCTTCTCTCAATAGATGAGTTCACCTCTCAACCAATTGAGCCTCCAGCCATCTTCAGTTGCTCAGCTCTCCACAAACGTTAAAGAGGAGCCTCGATGCTCGACTCCCACTCCTTGTCAATACTCTTTAAAGTCTGCCTCTCTTCAAAGACGCTCCTCAGTATCTTCAGGTGTCCCAGCCACTACGAGCACAGCTCCTGTACTGAGTGTTGATAAAGACAGATTGCTGCAGGAGAAAGATAAGCAGATAGAGGCACTGACCAGGATGTTGTGGCAGAAACAGAGATTGGTGGAGGTGCTAAAAATGCAGCTGGAAAATGGAGACAGAGGAAAGGCTCCAGAGCCAATCAGTCCTCTCGGGGTAAAAGAAGAACCTCTCGATGAGCCCGATGTTGCCTTCTCAATGGACTTTGATCGATTTCCCTCGCAAAAATCACCTATTTCACAAGAGATGGATATTACCAAGGTAATTGTGAAACAGGAAGTAATCGAGGAAGAAGAAGTTAAACCTGAGAAAACTTTCCAATCCCCAATCACTCATGGATTGCCGCAGTCCTCAACCCAAACACAGGAGGAGCATCTGGCTCAACAACACATCATACAGAAAGTCCTGCTACAGCAGCAGCAGCACAACATCCAGAATCAGACGCTGGAGAATCAGCACGACCTGCAGAAACTTTGTCAGCAGAGAAAGAAAAAATCTCAAAACCAGCAAAAGCAGCTCCTGCTGCAGTCACAACAGCAGCATCAGCAGTCAAAGCACGTGCAACAGATGCAGCTGAAGCAACAGCTTCTGCTGAAGCAACAAAAGTCGCATATGTTGCCACAGCAAATGAAGACTAAACAACAGACTAAACAACTACAGCAAATTCAGATTCAGACCAAAATACAGCTGAAGCAGCAACAGGTGCCCAAACAGCAGATGAAGCAGCAGCAGCAGCCATCGAAGGTTAGGACTGGCTTTTATCTATAGTGTGTGGGGTTGGAGTTTTATTTAACTGCATTGCTTGTAAAGTTCTGCTCTTAAGAAGGATCCTGAACAATCAGCTCTGGTAAGAATTTAGAATAAAGAGAATAATTATAACAATCATATCTAGCAAGCACTGAATATGATGAATCAAAACGGAAGTTAATTTGTTGCCATGCTGGTATGCAGTGAAGTGTAGACTAGACTGTGTCGGTTCTTCCCATAAAAGTTCTCTTTTCTGTTGAACAGGTGCCTCAAGCATACCTGAAACAGCAGTCAGGCTCAAGTGCCTCTTTCTCACTTGACTCCACCCCAACCCTGGTCACTGACACCAACGGTAACCATTTTCTGATCGCGCTGACCAATCACCTTACTGGAAACAAAATAAAGGACCCTGCTGAGGGAAAAGCAACCAATCACATTACACTGCAGGTACGTGAACTTGCAATCTTGTTGCTTTTTGAGCTACAGAATTACAATTATAGTTAAATGTAAAGAATATCAAACAGTACTGCAATACCCAACATAATGTTTAAGAAGATTAATTTTACTAAGATTTACAATGATAGCATTAGTGTTACAATGTAGAAAGACTGACTCACAAAAGCTTTGTCAGTCATATTTACATAGATTAATTTATTATATAAATATATAGTGCGATATAGTCTATACAGCATTAATGTTCGCCACACAGGCACTGATCTCTGCATTTCCTGCAAAAAAGTATCAAGCTCAACTCAGCAACTCAGGGCAAAGCTGTATTCAGATCCTACAGGTGGATGTTGCACTTAAGGCTGGCCTTTTGGTCGAAGCATCAGAAAGCCGAGTAGCTTTTCGGTTGGTGGTGTACAAAGGCAGACCAAAAACGGATAAGCAGATCATTGTTAATTGAGCTGGACTGCATGAAATTTGTTTCATTGCTTTGCTGTCCGTTCACTTCTTACATTGATAACTACCTCATTTGTTCCTATAGCGACTCCAGTCTACTCCAGCCAAACATCCAGGCCACAACCCTGTTAAGCTGACCAGAGCTGATAGTAAAGCTCAGCAAAGCATGCAAGTGAAGTTTGTGAAAAAGCACACTAAGGTGAGGATTAAAACAAGACATTTCTGATATGACTTTGTTGCCCAAACCTAGGTAGTGTATACAATGGGAGAAATGATTCTTTGATTCCCTGCTGAATTCATAAGTTTGCTTATGTACATAGAAATGGAAAGCGTCTAAATTTTATGGTAGTTTAATTTTAACAGAGAGACAGAATATCAACCAAAACTCTAGAAAAAACACATTACATAAAATTTTGAACTGAATTGCATGTCATTGAGTAAAATAAGTATTCGATCCCCTACAAATCAGCCAGAATTCTGGCTTCCACATATGTGCTATGTGCCCACGTGGAACAAAGATCGATCAATTGGTCAATCGATCGGTCAATCAATCGATCAATCAATCAAAGATCTCAACTCGTTATGTGCATAAAACACACCTGTCCACAGCATCACTTTATTCCATTCTAACCTTTTACAATTTGATTTATATAGAGCAAAATCACAACAACAGTTTCCACTTTATATTCCAAGCTAAAGGCCCTAAAATACTACAGAAAAAAAACAGAGGAAACTATGAACAATAATGAGAAGACAAAACTCCCTTTTAACAGGACAAAACCTCCAGCAGAACCAGGTTCAGGGAGGGGCAGGCATCTGCCACGATTGGTTGGGGTGAAGGGACACACTGTGGAAGAGAGCCAGAAATTAATAGTAACTAATAATTACATGCAGAGAGGTGTATAAACACATAGTGAGTCAAAAAGGTGACAGAAGAAGAAACACTCAGGTCATGATGGGAACCCCCCAGCAACCTAAACCTTCTGCAGCATGTCTAAGGGAGAATTCAGGGTCACCTGATCCAGCCCTAACTCTATGTTTTATCAAAACAGAAAGTGTTAGGCCTAATCTTTAAAAGTAGAGAGGCTATCTGTCTCTCTCCACCTCTCCACCACCATAGGCCAAGAGTTGTCAAACAATGTCAATCTGCACAAGGCTGGAATCGATTACAAGACTTGATGAGAAGGTAAGGATCTGTTGAGGCGCCATGGAAGAAATCTAAAGCGACCATCAATCCCTCTTGGTCTGCCACTCCATGTAAGATCTTGCCTCATGGGGTGAGAATAATCAGGAGAAAGGTGGTGGATCTGCCCAAATCTACACAGTCCTCCTGTGTAGATTTGGGCAGATCTACTGCTTGTTAATGGTCCAAAGGCAGTTGGGACCACAGTCACCAAGAACACCACTGGTCACATGCTACACTGTAATAGATTGAAATCTTGCAGCACCCAAAAGGATCCCCTGCTCAAGAAGCCACATGTACAGGCCCATCTTAAATTTGAAGGCTTGGGAAGAAGTGCTGTGGTCAAAAGAAACCAAAATCAAGCTATTTGGCATCAGTTTAACTCACCATATTTGGAGTAAGAGAAATGCTGAGTATGAACACCAATGCTACAGTCAAGCACGGAGGTGGAAACATTCTGCACTGGAGCTGTTTTTCTGCTGAGGGCACATGATGACTTCAATGAGGGGCCAATTGACAGGGCCATGTACAGTAAAATCTTGGATGACAATCTCCTTCCGTCAGCCAGTACACTGAAGGTGGATCATGAAAGGGTCTTCAAGCATGACAGTGACACAAAACACCGCCAAGGCAACAAAAGAGTGACCAAAGATGCACATTAAGGTCATGGAGTACCCTAGGCAGTCTTCGGACTTCAGTCTTATAGAAAATCTGTGGAGAGAGCTGAAGCTCTGAGTTGCCAAGAGCCATCGAAGAAACCAAAAGGATTTTAAGATTTCTTTAAAAATGGGGGGTCACCTGTGATGTGTGCAAACCTGGTGACCTTCTACAAGAAATACCTTACTGCTGAGCTAACCAACAACAGTTTCTCTACTTTGGGATCAAGTACTTATTTCGGTCATTAACATAAAAATCAATGTATATTTCTGGATTTTTGGTTTATATTCTGTCTCTCTCCATTAACACAAAACTACCATAAAAATTAGAGACTCTTCAACAGGGGGTCAACTATTTTTTACCCCACTGTAACTATATTGAAAAACTTAAAGTGTTACATTTCACAGCTCTTACAGTAGATCAGCATGATCAATATGCCACTATGAGTGGGTTTTAGCTCAGAGCATATTTCTTTCGTAGCAAAATTTTGTGATAAAAATTGTTGACTCTGAGGTATATAGATTATCTGTCATATCAAGGATCTCAAAAGGCACATCATCTTCAAGGCTTTAAGCAATTGTATTTTTAAATATCATTTATCTCTATTAGACTACAGTGAGAGGAGAAAAACCAAAATCCTTGGGATCTTTTTATTTGCTATCCATGAAGTTTCCGTATAAAAGATCTGAAGTAATTTTCTTAAATATTTGTACCATTTCTTTTTATATTTGATGAGTTATACAGTTTAATCTCAATGAAAACCACACACCCCCTGAGCCATCTCCAGTGCTGAAGTCTGTTAATGCGCCACAAAGAGATAGAGAAACATGAGAGTGCACTCTAGTGAGTGCAATCGCATCGAAAATTAATGATGTATGCTGTTTGAGACAATGACAGCGGTCCTTGATAAGTCTCTGACACTAGCCCGATGCTGATTATTATTGCTTTGCTAATTACTCCTACGACATCCTCCATTACGATGATTTACGGTGTTAATGGAGGAAGAACAAAGACTCTATTGCATTTTGGCTAATTGAGATGCACAGTATATCCTGCCGAGTGCAGGTGTGCTGGAGCGCGTGGTCACTGGGCCAAGGCCTGCCTCAAACACCTCAGGATTTAGTGGAACACTGTATCCTGATTAGCAATTTTTCCGTGTCTCGTTTTGCCTTCTGTGACACTTGATTTAGAACTTGTCTACATCTTATGAATAAATTTACTGGTAACTACATCAGTACTGCTGACTTTTATTACTTTTACGGTGCTTACAGTCCTTTCCAATTTTGTTCTTTAATTGAAAACACAGAATGGACTACTTCAAGTGTCTGTAGAAAAACCACACCAGGGCACAGCTCAGTGTTTGTCAGCACCACCCAGTCTACAGCCATTCTTCAGGGACCAAGAGCCTGCTCCCTCAGGAAAAACCACCCCTTCATCTCCTTCTCAGGGTGTAAGTAATCCAGCCTTGATGTGAATAATTTGTCATGGTGGGCCTGGAACAGGACTTGGAACTTTTTAGTTCTTCATTCATTTTCGCTCACTTCCACTTATCTCTACCAGGAGGTGTGCCTAAATCTGGACGACTTGTTTAGTCCTGTATCTCCGGCTTCTGTTCAGACAGCAGCCTCATCTCCCGATGATAAAGTATGATGATTAAAGTTAAACTATGTTTTTGATCATGGGCTTTCACATGAGGCATTTGTATCATATAGTAACACTATATGTAGTTTAAAACATAACATGTTGTTTCTCATCAGGACACAGATCATGAAGATGATTTCATTGACATCATCTTGCAGAGAGGAGGTAAGATCTCAAGATCTCTAGATCTCTAGATCTCTAGATCGATAGATAGATCATTTTCAACTCAATCTGGAGAGTAGCAGGGGCACTGAAAAAGCTCAAGAGGTCCAAAGTTGTCTTTTTTCCTCATTGGCTTTTTGTCATCACATTTTCATCACATCTTATTTAAATGTCCAGCAATTCCATTATGGAGTCATGGATTGGTAGTTATCAGCAAATAGCGTATATCAGCCAGTAATATTGGCCCGCTGATTGGTCAAGCTCTAAGCTATAATTAGTTACTCTGTAGGTTTCTGACTTAATCAGTGTTTTGATTTGTTGTCACTAATACCTGCTGGGTTCTGTGTGGGGGTCGTGCTGTTGGTTTCACTGCCTTAAGCCTTCCCTGGAGATTTGCTCCAGAACAGAGCAAGCCACTAAATATAAATTACTGCAGATGGAAATAGAGAGAGATGTAAATAATCTTCTTTTGCCCCTAATACTTGGTTTAGAGTTCTTTCTATTTTTGTTGTTTTAATGTTATCTTTGTGTTTCCTTTCAGAAACTTCCTGTAAGCCTCCACCAGACCTCTCTCTGAACCGCCTTAATCGAGACTCCTCTGCTTGTTCACTTCCTCCCTCGCCACTTCAGGTATTGCTGCCCCTGTCTCCCCCCTTTCCCCCAAGCTGTGGCACTCCACACCCTGACCCCTCTTTGCAGCCTGAGCTTCAAACTGTGGCTGACACCACAGGACAGAAACAACACCTTAGTCATGCTGAAAGTGGGCGCCTTGAGGACTTCCTCGAAAGCACCACTGGAAGGCCTCTTCTCGGGGTGGAGCCCGGAGGTCTACTTAGCTTGATTGATGACCTTCACAACCAAATGCTGTGCACTTCCAGCATTCTGAACCACCCCCTTTCTCCCATGGATACCTCAGACACGGCGTCATGGGAGCAAGGGCTAGACAGTATGGACTGGTTGAATCTTACCACAGAAAGAGATAGAGAAGAGGAAAGTCCATCACTGGCTCTCCAAACTCCACCTAGTGTCTTTTCCACAGACTTCCTGGATAGTTCTGACCTGCACATACATTCGGAATTCTCCCTATAGCCTAGAGCAACTGGAAAACTGATATCCTATGTAGATGGGTGCAGTTACTCATTATCCAGTCACTTATACATAAAAACATGCAACTGATTGCTGAGGTTTCAGTATTTGATTAGGGCACTTAGTCTCTATGTTCTCATACATTTGGAAATTGGATCTTCAAGAGCTTTGACCTTTGTTTATTTGTTTATATTTTGCTGCACTGATTTTGATGCTCTTATTAGGCAGGTCCTATATCTGTTAGTGCATCTTTAGCAAAGGTCTTGTTGACACTTTTGTGCTTTTAACTCCAACATAATCCCCAAAAATATAAATTACTCTTATCTTGTCTTACCATAGACACAGTGTTCAAGTAAAGAGGTATGAAAACTTACTTGATATTTGTCTAATGACAATGCAATCTCCTTGCTTGTAATTTAAACAGTAATCAATAACCAAAGTTAAAGGAGAAACTTTTAAGATCGATACCAATATTGGGTGAATTTAAAAATGAGATATTCTGATATATCGGCTGATATTTTTTCTCCTTTCAGGCACAGAAAACACAAACAGATTTCCTCGATAGTTGCTATGTGTAGTTATTTATTTACTTGTTTGTACATTGCCCAACTCTGCTTGGACTAGTTGGACATCAATGCAACACTGATGTTGCAAACACATTTACTGCCAAAAGGGAAGTTGCAAGCGCCCTTTGTTGGGCAAACTATGCAAATTCAAACCCACATAACATGGTCGAAGGGTGTTTCTCCCTTCTCTTCTTTACTTTCAAATTTTTCAGTCATCAGCCAATAAATGTAGATACCAATAGATCATCAAATATCTAATGCTGGCTAATAATAGTGGGATTTACAATGACTGTAGCTCCATGTTATGGAAATAACTTTGGATATTTTGCAGGCTACAGCCATGAAAGTGTTACTACTGTATTTAGTGCTAGTCAAACTTACACACATTATGTATGTGCTACTGCTCTGGAACTTTTCTCTGGATTTTTCAAGGATTCATTCCCATGAAAAATCAAACTGTTGATATTTTACAAGCATTTTCATGCTAATATTTTATAAGTGTTGCGGTACAGGATACATGTATCTCCAGAATTAAGTACAAAAATCATCCAAGCATAACATCAAAACTTAGGTACACATTTAGCTTATGCAAAATGTTTGGAACAATCATGACTTATTACATCAAAATCAACAGTGTTACAATAAAGGGAGTTTAAAGGCTGCATTTGGCTTAAGTCCCACAGTATAGTGGAGAAAAAAACAGTGACAGTGTTGGTATTAAATGTTGGTTTTAAAAACCTAGACTGCACAGCACTGTTTGCATTTGAATTTATAAAACTATGCAAAAAAAAAAAAGAAAATAGAAAATTGATTGTGACAGGAGAGTTATGGAAGGAAACTACTGAAAATTGTTGATAGTTTCACTCACAGCCCAGCTTCTCCTAAAGAAATATTATATACATTATATTAGGGGTGGGCGATATAAACGATATACGATAGAAACGATATAAATTTGGCCAACGATAGAGATTTT